GAGGAAGAGGAAGAGGAAGAGGAAGAGGAAGAGGAAGAGGAAGAGGAAGAGGAAGAGGAAGAGGAAGAGGAAGAGGAAGAGGAAGAGGAAGAGGAGCACCCAGCAGCTCACTGCAGTGGGTCTGAGGCCAGGCTGGCTGGATGCTGTGGCAGGAGCACTTGCAAAGAAACCAGAGTTAAACGTGATTATGTCGCATCAGTCCAGGTTAGGAAACAGAGGATACATCTCAAATTCTAGGGTTTTGGGGTTTTTTTCCATTTCTATTCGGGATTTCCGCCCCAGGATAATGTTCCCATGCTCTTTCTGCTGGCAGGTGGAAGTTTGGGATTCCCTCAGTGTGTGGAAGGTTTTCAGTCAGGTTCTCCCCGCGTACCCCCCCGGTGAACTGGATCCGGTGTTTGATTTCCGTGTCACACCGCCCGCATTCCTGTGGCGAGCAACCAACACTCTGCAAGCATGGACCAGGGAGTGGGGAGGGGAGCGGCGCTGCCCCGGCCCCTCGGGGACAGGCTGGGACAGGAGCGCTGTCCCGGCAGGGGATTTGGGGCAAAGCCAGCAGCCCCGAGGCACCGAGTGGGGAGCGGGGGTGGTGATGCAGGGGTTATTTTAGTCCTGAGGTGACTCACACTGAGCCCGGGGTGACTCACGGGGAGCTTGGGGCCGGCGCTGGGGAGAGCGCGGCACGGCATGGTACAGTGACACACATGGCACACATGGCACACATGACACACATGGTTTGGCACACACGGCACACATGGCACACATGGTTTGGCACACATGGTTTGGCACACACGGCACACGTGGTTTGGCACACATGGCACACACGTCACACATGGTATGGCACACATGGCACACGCGGTATGGCACACATGGCACACATGGTATGACACGCATGGCACACATGGCACACATGGTTTGGCACATATAGCATGGCACACATGGCATACATGGTATGGCACACAAGGCACACATGGTTTGGCACACATGGCATGGCACACACGGCACACACGGCACAGCACGGATTTCCTCCCACAGCCCTGCACAGGGATCTGCAGCAGAGTGGCATCTCTCAGGGATTCACCTTTCCCGTCCCCTCCGCAGGTGCAGCGTCCCGAGGAGCGCTCGGACACTGATATTTTACGGGAAAGGTTGATTGAAAATCTGATTGCTGAGCTGACCCAGCYCCGGAGCTGGAGGGGCGGCTCAGCCCGTGCCGTGCCGCTCATCCCGGAGCCCGGGAGCTGCTCCCTTGCAGTTCARGCTTTGTTACACCGGTGTTCTGAGCCCCAGCTCCCGGTGCTGCCGGAGCTCATCCATCACGGGCAGGAAAAGCCGCACGGACTCTGCTCGCACTTGGCCCGGACCCCGCAGCAGGAATCAGCTCTCCTATGGCCCCAGCAGCCTGGAAAACATTGCTTTTTCAGGATCGCTTTCCAACAAACAGCAAATCCTTCAGATTTCTTCTTGGCACGGAGCGAAGCATTTTTACAGTGATTGGTTTTCTCTGTGAGATTCAGAGAAAGGCTGAAAGGCTGCTCCCGCTTCCAGGAATCCCGGCGAGCACAGGTCGTTCCCTCTCGGGACAAGGCAGTGCCCGCATCCCACCCCTCCCGCATCCCACCCCCTGCCCGCCCCCATCCCGGGGACCGGGAATGCCCTTCCCTGGCTGTGCCACGGCTCGGAGTGCGACAGGCGGGGAGGTCCCGCGTGTGGCAGAGGGTGACGGTGCCTCTCCACGGGCGGTGGGTGCGTGGCCGACCCTGAATGTCCCGTCCAGGCCCCGGGGATGCCTCCTGTGCCCGCCGGGGCACCGGGCCGAGCCGAGCTGAGCCGTTCCGTGACAAGCTGGGATGTGCCCTGCCGCTCCGCTCGGTTCCTATCGATGCCAGCCCGTGCCGGTCGGTGCCAGCCCGCTCGCCGCCGGTCCGTGCCGTGCCAGTCTGTCGGTGTCAGCCCGGTCCGGTTCGGTCGGTGCCGGTCCGTGCCGTGCCGGTCCGTGCCGTGCGGTGCCGGTGGGTGCCGCGGGGATGCGCTGCGCTGCTCTGCGCTGCGCTGCCGTGGGACCGGACCCGTGGGAGGCGGCGGGGGCGGCTCCGCTAATTGCATAACCGGGACGTCAATGCCGGCGGGAGCGCGGGGGAAGCGCGGGAAGATGGCGCCCCGCGCCCGGCCCCCGCCGCGCCCCGCAGCCCCCCGAAACCGCGCCCCGAGCGGCCGCTGAGCGCGCCGGGCACAGCGGTAAGGGCGGAGCGGGCACCGGGCGGGACGGGCGGGACGGGCGAACAGACGGCGCCGCGGCCGCCTTTGAATGAGCCAATGGCGGCGGGGCCGCGGCCGCCGCTCGGGACTGCCCGCGGCCACCCCGGCAGGTGCCACCGGGACACGGGGACACTCCCGTCACCGCGCGGTCCCGCTGCCCGGCACGGCAGCGCCGTGGGGCTCCGGGACAGAGCGGGAGCCCCGGGGGCGCGGAGTTGCGGGAGCCCGCGGGAGGGAGCGGAGGGAAGCGCGGGGGAGCGGAGGGAAGCGCGGAGCTCTGCGGGAACCCCGCGGGCGCGGAGCGGAGCCACCGCCGCGCTCGGACGCGCTCCCACGCGGGGACCCGGCGGGTGCCGCTGCCGGGATGTGTCACCACTCGTGAGCGCCGGGCTTTGCCCGTGCTTTGCACTTTGTGAGTGCGATCCCTCTGCCCGTGCCGGGGCTCTCGGGGGGCGGGAGAGTCCTCATGGATGGCAGAGGGCGCCCGATCCGCGGCGCCAGGACACGCGTGCTGCCATGAGGCCACATGTGTGGCGGTGACGGSAGCGCCAAGGGGAGAAAAGTCCCTTTCAAGTCGTTTCCGTGGTGTCCTTTGGGGTCGCAGCTGTGCCCTGGATGGTTTCTTTGCTTCCTGCACCCCAAACCTCGTGGCGGTGACATTTGGCCGCCTGGGTTCTCTCGCTGTGGGTGGCGCTGGCACATCCCCGCTCCTGCAGCAGCCCCGGTGGTTTGGGAGCCCGCAAAGCCGCGCGAAAATGGTGATTTAAAAATCACAGTAAATGTAAAGCTTTTATTTCTTGCATGCCCCCTCCCAAAACTGAACCGTGTGGACCCGCGGCGTGTCCCGGTGCTGTGGGATCCCATCGAGGGTTAATTCCCTCTTGCTCAGCAGAAGCAAAGATTTTGGCTGCTCCCTGGATTTCGTGGAAAGGAACCGCCTCTTCGGCACTTGTTGTGCAGTGTCCTGAGCCCCTGCTGGTGGGGCTGAGCCACCTCCAGSCTCGGTCCTTCCAGGCAAAACCCCAGGGGACGCATTGTGGCATGTCAGAGGACAGGTGACAGCGTGTGTGTCCYCTCCAGGCTGTGCTGATGGAGCCCAGCAAGCTGAGCCCGCTGATCCGGGATGTGTACGCGGCCGCCGGCCGTGTCCAGCAGGGCTCGGCGCGGAGGGGCAGCGGCTGCCGGGAGCTGATGGTCAGGCTGACCGAGGGGCAGTACGTGCTGTGCCGCTGGACCGACGGCCTCTACTACCTCGGCAAGATCAAGAGGGTAAYGTGGGCACCCCCGGGGGGACGGGAGCACCCCGAGTGGTGCCAGTGCCATTCCCTGGCTCAGTGATTGTGGTTTGAGGGGCTGCAGTGTGTTTCTGGTCAGCAGGGYACTTCAGATTGTCATCCTGCTCCAAACCTGGCTTCCCTCACYCTGAGGGACAGGATCGGGCACCAGGGACAGCAGGGCAGGGCTGCGGCTGGGAGCTGACACACAACTGCTCTTGTGCTCTGTCCTGCCAGGTGAGYGGCTCCAAGCAGAGCTGCCTCGTCACGTTCGAGGACAACTCCAAGTACTGGGTGCTCTGGAAGGACATCCAGCATGGTGAGTGTTGCCCCAGCCTCCTTTTCCAGCGTCGTGCTGGACCCTGCCCAGCAGCACGGGGACGTGCCTGTGCCTCATCCTGTGTCACCCATGTCACCTGTGTCACCCGTGTCACCCGTGTCACCCGTGTCACCCCCGCCCCACAGCCGGCGTCCCGGGGGAGGAACCCAAGTGCAGCATCTGCCTGGGGCAAACATCGGGCCCCAGGAACGAAATCCTCATCTGTGGSAAGTGCGGGCTGGGTGAGTGTGGCCGTGTCCCCCGGGCTGTGCCTGTCCCCTCCCGGCCGGGCTGGTGCCAGCCCCGYGGCGCTGATGCCGAGCCCCCGGCAGGTTATCACCAGCAGTGCCACATCCCGGTGGCGAGCGGCGCCGAGGGCCCGCTGGGGACGCCGTGGTTCTGCCGCCGCTGCATTTTCGCCCTGGCCGTGCGGGTGAGTGGGGCTGCCCGGGGCTCCCGGCCCCGTCCTCGGCACGATGTGACCCCGGGTGGCTCTGCTGACCCCGCCGCTGCCTCCCCGCAGAAAGGGGGTGCCCTGAAGAAGGGAGCCATTGCCAGGACGCTGCAGGCCGTGAAGATGGTGCTGTCCTACAACCCCGAGCTGCTCGAGTGGGACTCCCCGCACCGCACCAACCAACAGCAGTGCTACTGCTACTGCGGGGGCCCCGGAGAGTAAGGGGCTGCCTGGGGGCCACCATCGGCTTTGTGGGGAAAGGGGGATGGGCTCAGGCTGGGGTTGAGCTGGGGATGGGCTCAGGATGGAGATGAGCTCGGGTTGGGGATGGGCTCAGGCTGGGGATGGGCTCGGGCTGGGGATGGGTTCGGGATGGGAATGGGCTCAGGCTGGGGATGGGCTTGGGATGGGAATGGGCTCGGGATGGTGTTGGGCTCGGGATGGGGTTGGGCTCAGGCTGGGGATGGGCTCAGGGTGAGGATGGGCTCAGGATGGAGATGAGCTTGGGTTGGGGATGGGCTTAGGGTGGGGATATTTGATGCCAGGCTTGTAGGGCACTGTCCTGGGACCCGTGGCTCTGCTCCCCACACCGCCTCCATCAGGGTCTCCACTTGCTCCTGTTTGCACCAGAAACACCAGTCAGGGACAGACTTTCACTAACTGGAGGGGGTCGGTGCCTGGGAGCCCTCTGGCGTGGTGGCTGCCACCCGCTGACTGTCATCTCGCTGCTGTCCCTGCCCAGGTGGTACCTGAAAATGCTGCAGTGCTACCGCTGCCGGCAGTGGTTCCACGAAGCGTGCACCCAGTGCCTCAGYGACCCCATGATGTTTGGAGACCGGTACGTCCCTCCTGCCTTTGCTGAGTCCCTGTCACTGCTGTCACTCAGAGCGTGGTCCCACCCTGCCCCACCCTTTGGCCCTGCCTGGCTGTAGGATCCCATGATACTCACCTAGCGCTCTCCCTTCCCGGTGTTTTCCAGGTTCTATGTGTTTTTCTGCTCCGTGTGCAACCAGGGACCCGAATACATCAAGCGTCTGCCCTTGAGATGGTACGGAACGGGCTCTGCCTCCCCTGGAATCTGGGACA